ATGGTGAGATGTGCGAGCTTGCATATTCAAGAATTCGCTCACCATCGGCGTTTCGTGACCCATAACCAAACCCACCATGACAACTATAACCATCTTTCGCAGATCCAACGTGTCCATTAAGGTCACCTGCGACAATGATAGCGTCCTCCGATGGTACCTCAGCGGTTTTCTCATCTAACAGGGCCCAGAACTCGTCCTTGGCTCGTTCGGAGCAGCCAGTCTGTGGAGCGTAAGCAGAAAAGATGTGGTATTGACGCTGCTCCATAGCAACAACGATCTTCATCAAGCGGTCATCGTAACGTTCGACATTCGCAATAGAATCGCGCGGAAACGTTCAGAGACAACCACACCGACGCCGCTGGTTGTCCTGGGACTGCCACAGAGAACGACTTTAAAGCCGCGGCCAATGTCCCTCGACTTACAGCAGGACCACCTCGTTTCCTGCACGGCACAGAAATCAATTCTTCTTCGCTCCAGTGCTTCTACCAACTCGCACGAGCGACCTGTCAATGTGCCAACATTCAATGTTGCAACGCGAACCTTCCATACGTTGCGGAACTTTTGGACTAGCCTAGTTGCCCCCCGATGCCGTCCTTGCATCGGAGACCCTCGCATACTTTTCACACTCGCCGGGCTTTGCGAGTGCGCGTCGGCTCCCGCGGACGCCGTAGCATTATCTCGATACTCATAGCGACATGACATTTGTGATGTGACGTGGGTGTTCGTAGGCCGGCCTGTCACGGGGGCCTGTCGCCTGCATTCGAATGTCCGCGTTTAGCTCAGCTCACAAAGTGATCCCAGTGGCACCAGAATGGACTACCACCGAAAGAGGGCCTATCAAGGGGGGATATCTAAGGAATTTTTTGCCGTAAAACTTCCGTCAAAGACGGGACCCACGACGAGGAGTTTGGTGAGAAGGCATGCAAGAGATAGGGGGGTAGATTGCTTCTATTTCCTTATAGCGAGTGATAGAAAATTAAAATTAAAAAAAATTTCACGCATTAATTTGCATCATACGACAATGTTTACGACGAAAAACGTTGATAATCGACATGGACAAAATGCTTTTTGTGCCCCCCTCGCCCTGTCGTTAGACGCGTAGATAGAAAACGCGACATTTCTTGCAACAGAATTAGTAAAATTCATATCTTTTGCCTTACAATCCGTACTCAATATTACAGCTTACTCTTATGTTTTCACCCGCAAAATAGGGAATTTCAGACTCTTGTCAAGTTCCTGCACCACAGCCTGGTATGGCATTGAGCACTAGCGGCGTTCTACCAAGTGGCAGCTCCGTGACGGCAACTTGCGCGGAAGATATGAAGGTTCTCATTGGTAAGCCTTCCTCAAGGTTTGCATATCCGAAAGAAGAGTTCGGGGCACATAAGCGTATTTTCACTTCACTATTGAAAAGATGAAGGAATCACGTATAACAAGAGCAAATGAGGACTATGCTCTGGCACCGTAACGTGCCAAGCGAGAAGCTTTCCGAAGGATGCATGCATTCATCCTCTGTCGTTTGTAATCCAGTCTAATATTTCTCTGTGCGAGGGAATTTTTTGAACGAATGGCAGTCCTGACCATCTCAAGCGATGGTGGACAATTTTTTTTCTTTTGCTACTAGATATCACGCAGCTCTCAATAAAAAATGCAGTATCACAAAAGGGTGTGCCACAATTGTGAAACTGGAGCGGAGTGTACCTCAAGTTCTCCCCCCCGCCCCCCCACCCGAGTCAGCAACGAAGGTCATCCTGAGAGAACCACTGGCGTGTGCTGGGATGAGCGACTGCGTTTATTAACTCCACACTTCTTCAGCACTACTACTGACACTCCCTCAATTTAGAGCGACTTCACTTGGATTTCGATATCATCTTCACTCAGCAAACCTTTCATCTGCAGATCTCTTAGAAAAAGTCCGTCAATCACTGGCACAGCGCTATAAAAAACGACTAACTTGACAATTTTTGAACCACTTTCTGGCTCCATGTGGCCGCTCAGCGGAAAATGAAACCCAATATTGCAGTCCGTTATTCGTTTTTTTCTGTGAGTTCTTCACTGCCGCCGCTATATGGTGGGCTCTCCGGATAAAGTCAATTCCAGGTGTGAACACAATAAGATGCGTGCTCGGTCAATGGGCTCCAAACCGATTTGGCTATTGTGTGGACATTGGTGACCCCTTGGTTGGTTAGCAGTTCTTTGCGTATTCACTTCTAGTGGTGCTAATTTTGCTACAAAGAGATTATTATTTTGTTCACTATTAAGGAACAGTGTTGTGTACAACAGCGGTTATGGTCAAGTGATCGTGAAGTTCCCTGCAGGTATGCGTCAATGTGCTGCTTATTGGAGCACAATTGTGTTTTACTAATATTAGGTACGGGAATCCTTGGTGTCGCTTCTTAATTTTGGAAAAGCATGTTTCCTGACAATTTGTCAGCAAATCAAGAAACTGAATGACTATGCAACTCCACGGCATTCTCCCGTCCAAGTATTCAGTGAAAATCAAACCTTGAAGTTTTTGGGTCAAAAGAGAGGAAAGTTGGTTCATGATTATGGAAAATCCATATACTCATAACCTACTAAATGTAGGGGAGGACAAAGGCCACTTTGCCCAACAGGCCAATATCATGCATTTTTGGCAACAGGGGATGCCGCTTTAATTGGAGTTGTAGGCCGAAATCCTTCCTTAGATGGCCCACCCACCAATCACAGCAGAACTGCCCTACCTTCACTGCCCTCACCGTCTTCCAGAATGTGACGTCATCTGTCATCACCGTCGAGCTCAAGGAGGCCTACCATAATCGCTCCATTCTGAAGCTGCTACATAATTTCTTCAATCGGATAACTGGTGAATGGCTTCTTAGGGACACTAGCTCTGACTATGCAAAATGGCTTTTGACCAGCGTTTCAGAGACGTCGTAATCGTCTATGGTTTCTCGACGACCCCGTTGAGCTCGTACCGTGCACCATGTTTCCGTGGGAAAATCTTCTGGTGTCGTCGTGTAGAAAGCCTCTATGTGCAGATTTTTCCTTGATAGACGAATGTGCTCTTTCAAGACTCTTTTTTTGCGTACCCGCCCCCCGCCTGTTAATCGCAGTGTCCAAATAATAAGACGGTAATCGCAGAGTTCCTACTCTAACTTTACCAACAAACCGCTATCTATCACAGCTATGTGTCGCAACCATGCCGTGGTTTTAGGCACCCGAAGAGGACGCCTTTACTCCATAGCGAGGTTGCCGGTTTTGCATTTACAAGCAAGGAGAGTGAGGGCGCAGATTCCGAGGTCCCCATTGTATGAGAGTTCTCGGAAACCTGGTGTGGTGAACATGGGGTCCTTTCCACACTTCTTAAGCGAGATAACGAAGCTTTTGCGACTTGAAGAGGAGAGCTCAATAATACTTAACAAATGCGTTAAGCCACCTGCACTAATCTTGTGATGGGCCTTGAACTCCGCCCTTGAAGTCATTTAGCAAGCACATTCGAATTCATGCAGAGGCCAAATGCGTTTGCCCAAAACCATTTTTGAAAGAATCATCAATGCCAAAGAGATGTTGAATCGCAAAATCAGCTGTTGGTTAAGAGCAACCATTCTAAGTAGCATTTAATCAACAAATCCTTCCAATTTCTGTTTGAGATCTTTTTCATAATAATCGGGCCCAAAAAAAAGTCTAAAGAAAAGCGGCACCAAGTTTTGCAGTGCTTAATATTTTTGCTGTGCTTATGCTCAAAAGCATAACTACTGAATAGTAAGAGAAAGTTTGTTTTCATTTAGAGCCAGTAAGTAAAGGAGCTGGGCAACGATCAACTGCTGATTGAATCGTTCAGAGGTAGCCTTTTTCTTTGGTATAATACTTGTTGACGGTGGCTGCCTTATGGACGAACATCTGATGCCGGTTTACTTTCAGGCGGTTACGGCATTGTGAATGTGAAAGGATATCGTGGAATTCCAGGTACTGAAACAGTTCTTAATATGCCTAGCAATTTGTTGACCGGGATTTTGTTAGCTGTAAAACTCAAGCGATTATTTCTAGAGCCAATTCAGGGCTTATGCATACTGGTCGTTCATTTGTAAAGAAATAGGCAGAGATAAAATAGATATGTAGCTGCAGTAACCATTGAAGGACGAAAATGTACTAAAAAGTGAGGACTTGAGAGGCATTCTCGTGATATTTCTTTTTTAGACAGCGAAGGATATACCTGGAGCATCCAGAACAACCAAATCTACAGAAATGGTGTTCTAGTGCCCGACAACAGTGGTAGGTGATTTGTTGTCCTAACAAGTGATTTTCTAGCTGAAGCTGAACTTGCTTTTCAACATCGCCTGTGCATTCTTCATGTAAGTTCTGCCGAGTGTAGGCACCCAACACGATTCTCAATATAGTTCTCGCTTCCTGAGTGTTTTTGAGCTACTCTCTCAATTTGCTAATTTCTATAACTCGCTCTAATTCTGGTCTTCGATTACTGCAGACTAGAATTAGAGCAGAGGGGCAGCGTCTCTGGTTATTTCCAGCAAACATGGTGTCTTCTGCATAGGCGCACGTAGGAAAAACCGAGACACAGTATGGAAATTACTGACCGAACACTCATCTTTCTGCGCAGAGTCCAGGTCTCTGATGCGTGGTCTGAAGGCACGTACTACAATAGCAGAATCGGCTTGAATATGGGGCTATATATGAAACTTGGATGCTGGTTAATCTGCTGTTGAAGAAAAAAAGGAAGCGCGAGTAAAAACGACGTGATCTCTCAAGTCGCGGACTGTGAAGGTGGCCTAAGTTTGGCCTTAATGTTCTGAGTAGATTAATTTATTCCATCCGCTTCTGTAAGCAAAGACAGCTGAACTCTTACGGTCTCATCGTTCAAGTTTCAGTTCTTTTTGAGGATGTAATTTCTTAGAAACAGCTGCTGACATGGAGCGTTTCTGATGACTCTAAGGAAGAAAGGAATTCAATTGCCTAGTGCGAATACCCTCTAAGCCCTGAGATTGACAAGCTGATTGAGATAGGAAGAACGAATGTCACTTGGCGTATACAGGGTGGGCAAAAATTACGGTAACAAGATAAAGTGTTCATGGAAAAGCAATGGCCGAAGACACACGTGGACACCAACAATGTATTCATAGGAAGTTACCAAACAGAATACAACATCACTTCTTGGACTGGCCGCTGTTTGCGTTTATACCTGAGTGAAGTCATCTCGGGAACGCATCGTGCCTGTTGTGTAGGTAGGTGACATCGAGCTTACCCTAGGATCTTCTTTAATTCGTCGATGCTTTAGTGATACTCGTAGTAGCCCATCGTCTTCAGACTCCACGGAAAATAACCCACTTGCTTTAAAACGGGAAAATAAGGTTGCCCTCGTTCAATGTCATGAATTCGGAAAAGTTCTGCAAAACCAATGTTGCACAATATTTGCTTTGTGTACAGGCGGTCTCTTGCTGTTGTGTCCAGTGATTTCTCTCCGGGGTCTCTTCAGCCAGATGCATTTATTAGGTTCGAAGGAAATCGAGATGTTTGTTAGCGCTCTTGTTACCGTAATTTTTGCCCACCCTGTATATTCTGATCAGCAAGTACTTGAAGGAAGGATGAATACAACAATCAAAACTACCACAGTAAATCTGCCGGGATATTGATGCCTCGATGTGCTGTAGTACAATAAATAAATCAAGTAAATGTGGCATTACAGGAAACTTTGCTATGGTCTTG